TTTCTAATTTGTGTGCATTTCGTCTCATAAGAAGTTGGAAATATTGGTTTTTTTAATTGTTTACGGAATAAATAAGGACTTTTGATTATGAACCTTTATTCTGTGCGATTGGTATTATCCACTGTTCGTGCATTTGTGAGGCAATACTATCAAAGTATTAAGGTATTTACTATAAATGTTCATATTTTAAGGTTATTGTTTGATTAAAACATTTTATTATTACTTTACTGTAGTTCAAGGTATTATTTTTTACTGTATTTTAAGGTATTTTGTTGTTGTTTCTATTAGGGTTATTTTAGAACACGGTTGTCCAACTGGTGGCCCGAGGGCCGCATCCGGCCCGCGAGGCTATTTGTTGTGACCCACGTAAGATTTTCGAAAGCATAATATATTTTCTTTAAATACTGCCACTGAAAAAATATTGTTTAATTTATGTATGGCATGCTACACCTCCCACTGCTTACACTGCTTACCATCCGTCGCCAGCCGCCATCGTGCCAGTGTGCTACTGACACGTAGGCTAGTCGGCCAATCTATTACGTTGCTAGTGAACAGTGAACTTGATTAATTCTTTGTCTTGATTCCTCTTATACAATAATGAGTGTAAAACCAGTAAATCGGAAAATTGATAGTGAGAACAGAATTTACAAAGAAAGTTGGGAGAGTGATTACTTGATTGCTAACAATAATGGAAAGTTGCAGTGCTTAGTGTGCATGAATGTCGTTTCAGTACCTAAAGAATATAATGTGAGAAGACATTACACAACAGTGCATAAAAATAAGTATGCTACATACACAAATGAAAATCGGCGTGCCCTAGTTGCAGATTTGAGGAAAAAGCTTAAACAGCAAACTGGTATGTTCAGTAAAATATTACACTCTCAAACGCATTCTTTACATGCATCTTATGCCGTGTCGCTTGAGCAAATGCAAAAAAACCTTTCACTGATGGCAATTTGATAAAAAAATTTGCTGTTGAAATGGCCAAAGCTTTCGGTGATTCTAAAATGGCTGAGAAATTTGAATCAGTGCCACTTTCACATCAAACCATACAAAGAAGGATTGTTGCTATGGGTGAGCAAGTAGAAAAATCTATGCTTAGGATGGTTAAGAAAAGTTCATATTTCTCACTTTGTTTGGATGAAAGCACTGATCAAACCGATGTTAGTCAGCTGTTAATATTTGTGCACTCTACTTTTGATGATTTTACCAGTAAAGAGGAGTTATTTGATATTTGTCCTCTTTATGGAACAACAAAAGGAAAAGACATCTATGAGGCTGTGAAGAAAACAGTTGACAGAATTGGAGGCTTTGATAAATATTCAGCCATAGCAACAGACAGGGCTCCATCAATGACAGGTAAAAAAATTGGATTAGTGGCTCTGCTTCGAGAGAATGGTGTCACTTGCCCAACAATTCATTGTATTATACATCAGGGAGCTTTATGTGGAAAATCAGTCAAGGAACTACTATAGATCTACTACAGATGTTTCTGGCTGTTCTGTTAGGATTAAAGCGTTAGAGACATCTAATTGTACCGTATTTGAAGAAACATGGGATGTTTGTTGCCCTACATTTGATAATTGTGTTTTTGATTTCCAATAATACAACAAGACTTGCATCTGGTTGTAGTGCTGCTGAAGATGAAGACCTACTATCTTCTAATTGTACTGTGGCTGAGGAAGGGATAGTTACTGAGTGTTGGACATTCAAAGAAGCAGTGGCTTCCAAGTGTACTGTAGTGGAATTGGGAAGATTATTATTATACCCAAGCAAATTATCTTTTTTGAATATTGACGTAGGAATTGCATCTGTGTTAGGACCTTGTTTATCGGCATCCTAAATTCCTGTGGATTTAAATCCGTTAATAATATTAATACTAGGTATTTCATATGCTAGCTTGGTTATCCTTTGTACAAATATTTCTTCAGGAATTTTTTTGCGAGGATTTTCCCTCTGCCACTGAGTGCCTTGTCCCAACTATTTTTCAGACCTCTAAAGACTGACACATCTAAAAGTTGTAATAAACGTGTCTTGTGTGGAGGTAACTTCATAATAGTAATTTCATTTTTTTTGTGCTAACTTAATCAAATCTGTGGACACATGGGTAGGATGGCCATCACAAATTAATAAAACTGGTCTCTCCTTTGTAACATTAGGTAAAAGACATCTTTAAACCAATTAAAAATCAAAGTAGTTTCCATCCAACCTTGAGACGTTGCAGAAACTGTAGTTTGGGATGTTGTATTCTCATTAATCCAAATATCCACTACGTATTTACCTTTAAATACACAGAGGAGAGGTATCATTTGACCATCAGCAGAACAATATAACAAAACAGATGTGTTGCCTCGGCCAGACGAACTGGTCTTCCATATGCTTTTTGCACCAATTGCACCAACGACCTTTGTTTTACTAGGGTCATGTCAAAATGAGGTCTCGTCGCAATTAAATATCTGTTCTGGTTTCCTCTTATGGTTTAGTTCTTCCACAGTTTTTGTTAATACTTCAAAAAAATTTAAGATGGCCCAAGGGTTCACCTGATCGCATCTAACATGTTCAATACTCCTAGGTTTCTTTATTGACAGATAGTGCCTAGTAGAAAAATAGCAGGCAAATGCAGTCCAAGGCGAAGAAGAACCTCATGGTTGAAGAACTTGCGAGATTGGTATGGTGTTAATACAAGCATGCTATTTAGGGGGGCAGTGAATAAAATTAAGATAGCTATGATGGTAACCTACGTTCTGAAAGGACGTGGTACATGAAGAAGAAGAAGTGCCTAGTTTCAAATGATCTAAACGTCAGGGCCTGGCCTCTGGTCTTTAAATCTACTCTTGTTATTATTCTGCCTTATACTCAATTGTATCAAGTCTAATACTTCCTCTCTGGATAAACCAAAACAATTTTTGTCCATAATTTTTATGCAATCTGCAATTTCTTTTTTCTCAAGAGACGACAAATATGACTGAACTCCTCCACCACCGTTACCTTCTTTTGAAGTCAGTCCAGTCCAGTGATGCTTCAATGTAGATCGTGGAATGTAAAATAATGATACACCCCGTGTCGTACTGATGTACGTTCTTACCATTTTCTGAAACAAAAACAATCTGATATAACCTAGGCTTTAAAAAAGTAAAGGATGGAAAAAATGTTTAGGTCCTGAAGTCCTGAGGGGTAACTGGACCATCCATTCTAACCTCAAAACTAATCAAATAAGCATGCAAAACTAATTTAAACATTGTTAATAGAATATTAATCAATACTTTTACACTAAAATACATTGTCAAAACACTTACCTTGATCAAAACAATAATGTAAATCACAAGCACGCCACGTTGATTTTGAAAAAAATAACTACGAATTTGAATTGGACTTCTCACAGCAACCAAAAGTACTATGAAGGTTAGAATTAATGTTTTAGAGGGAAGGCACATCATCGAGCAATAAGACAAAAGAGGGAATCTAATCGTTATAAAAAGGAGACCAAAAAAGTGGCCTCTGATGGCGGACACATCCGGAAATGCAAAGGCGCTAAATTTAAATTTTCCAACATTTGTTAACAATAGCTATAAAATATTTTTCAGACTAGAAAGTTTTAATTAAATATTAACGATAATAGTCTAAAAAGTGACATAATTGGTAAAAAACTTCAATATAAATAAAATTTCATGTGACAGTTGGAACAAACAATAACATAACCAAACTAAATTTGACTTCTTAAACAAGGAAAGAGACTGTCTATCCTTGTCTAAAGTGGCCTCTCAAGATGGCACTTCCTGTCTATCAATATGTTTACCCCTTCTACCTTTACATTCCCTCTTTTGTCTTATTGCTCGATGAGGCACATTCTTGCAGTACATCCAACAGCAAAAAACTTAAATACATTTACAATTTAAGAATAAAAAAGGTATGGCCCAGACACCCCCTCGGTCCAGTTGCCCCCCATCACTTTATGTAAATATTTCTGCCATAGAAACGTTGTAATAATAAAATTATCGTTATATGTTATAGTTAATCGAGTCAACCGAGGAATATTTAACAACAGTTTACTTTCCATCCAGTTCATATCAATTCCGTCCCAGTACAACTTCTGAGAGTAATAAACACAGTGACTTTGAAAAAAGTAGCAACCCCTCAAATATGGTATCGCCGTCGGTCCGCAGGTTAAGCGAAAAAGTAAAAAAGAACATGATGCTACCGTCAACTGGAGAAATTCAGCCTAAATTTACGTTTTATTCAACTTCAACTAGATTTTCCTAGATAATTGTGTAATTAGTTTGGAAATAAAGCTTTAAAAAACCTTTTTCGAGTACGTAAATCTTTATACATATTTATTATTATGACAGAACATAAATCACTTGCAATATAAGTAAGTGGATTTCTATGTAAAAGTAATTACCAAAGAATTATCCTATTTATATTTATTTTGGTAAATTCATGGATATTAATAGAATTTGAAGTGTACGATTCAAAATACCAGCATATGCTCTCAACTAACAAACTGTGTTAACTATATTAAGATCATTAATAATGATACTCAATACTTGAACGAGCCTCTTGAAGCTTAAATAAACATTTAAAAGATCTACTTAACATAATTTAAAATGAAATATTGAAAATAAAAGTTAATTTTTAAAACGATCAAATAAAATTAACATTTCCCATTTACTATATTAAATTATGCAACCAAAAATTCAGTTGTTTTTCTGTGGTAAATTTATTGGTGATACTGTGCATTTTCTTCTTTTCAAATGTCAACTGTCAACCATAATAAATGACATTTTTTGAAAATGGCCAGGCAAATTTGTAATATTGAAATCTGATACATTGAAAAATTAAATTTAACGTAGGTAATAAAATAAAATTTTGCTGAACAGTGTAGTTTTCATAGAGTTTTTAAAAAACAGTAATAATAGTGAATTAATGAAAATGGTTGACTGGTGTGGCTGAATAAGATATAGCATACTATAAAGACGTCAGGTGTTCAGTCAGAAGATTTTGAAGTCCCAAGAAGGATTACTCAAAGTGAAAACGAAAAACATTAAAAATAAAATTTTGTGAAGTTTTCGCCAGTAAATTATCCAATTTTAGTGTAAAACAATTGTACTATCGTCAGATGTGTCTTTCACTAGTTTCTTTAGTTAAACAACGCCCTTTTGTAATGAACGAAATATCATAATCATTTCAAAATTTTATAGATGAGATTATCAATCTAAGTATTCTGTTTCGTCGGTAGTTTCCTAAATAATTAATCGAATTTGCCGCAGACATCTGAGTTTGTTATCAAGTTATTAAGTTTGAAACGATGCCCCTCTTTGGTAAATCTCAAAAAGGACCAGCAGATGTTGTGAAGGCTCTCAAGGAAGCAGTCAATTCACTGGAAAAAGGTTAGTGCAATGAAATCATTTTAATAGTCATAACGTTAAAAAGCTTCTTAAGTACATGCATTATGAGTGTCAATGTAAATTATTATAAAGAACCATATTTATTTTATAAAATGACTAATTTTTAAGTCTAGAATGTTGTTTGTGTATATATTTGCATGTATTGAGTGCACTCTAATATTAAATAATCATTTAAGGATAAATATAAGTTGTATACTTCCAACACTTATGGGAAATATAGAATATAATAGAATATAATATACCACAAATATAAGTTTCTTAGATCCAATATTACTTGAACATCATGTGAACATATTCATCCAGAATCACTGGCAGGGTTTTGAATCTGAACATTTGTGTATTTGTTTTCGTAAGGTTTATGCAATGCAGATTTGATTTTTTTTTTATAACTGAATAAGTTTCTGATACATAGCACAGCACTATTAATTGTGAAGCGAAATATATAATAAAGTAATATCGTAATATATTTAAGGTAAATGTACTAGTAGTTGACATTATAAGAAGAAAAAAAAACATTATTTAGCCTCAAACCCATGTAGATGAAATTAAATAAAAAATATATGTATATTCAGGTAATCTAATCCTTCCTGAATATTTAACAAATAAATTTTTGGACAATTCTGCGTTCTAAATATTTTTTATAAAATTTACAAAAATTGTTGCAAAAGTGTCAGTAGTTGACACAACAAAATGAAAAAAAATTAGTAGTTGACACATCCAAGGTTTAGTAATTGACACCCAAATATATTTTGATACTTTTATTAAGAATATGTAATTACAGGAGAACTTTAATGTTAGATGTTTCCACATCCACTGAATCTGGAAACTGATACTTTATTCTTTCTCATGAAATGAGTATCTGAGGTTGGGGCATCCTTTTGCGGGTTTTTGAGGATTTGATGAGGATTTGAAAATGTTATTACGCTCACATCTTTATCATTAATTCGAAAAGAAGTTTTACTGTCATTTTACTGCTACCAGATTCAACCTATAATTCATTATTATCACTTGATGATTCTTCCTTTTTCTTACTTACTTTTTTTTCGTCGCTGTCAGTTTCTGTTTTTTAACAAAGTTTTTTTCTTCTCTTTTCTTTTGTCTCTCTTCTGCTCTTTTCTGTTTTTCTTCAAGAAGCTTGATCTTCTTATTTTCTTTATTTTCATGATGTTTGCCATTCTTTTGAACTAGCCACAGAAGGAACTTTTTCCACTCTTCTTTTTTTTACTGCGGATACTCTGGGTTCAGGCCAAAACAGTATTCATTTAAAAGGAGAGGGTATAATTTCATTTGATGTAGAAGGTGTAGGTAATTCTTCAATTGCTGAAGATGGAACTTATGATTGTGTTAATGAAGAAGCACAAGTGTCTTGAATAATAGCAATATTGTTATGTTGAAGATTTTTCCTAGTGGGACTAGTGTGACTTTCCAAAACATCCGAAATGTTTCTACCTGGTTCAGCCTCAGATTGGTTTAATAACTCACCTATTTCATACTGTTCTTCGACTGGCTTATCAGGTTTGTTCTCTACGTAAATGTCTTCAACATTAGGGCTGTCTTCAACATTTGGTATGTCCTCAATATAAGTGGCATCTTCAATAATATTGTCTTCATCATCTGGTTCTTTCGCACCTTGTTTCGCTTTCAAATTGTTTATTTCTTCTTCTAAAAGACTGTATTTTATGCAAATGTTTTTGTAAAAGTAAAAGAGAAATAAATCTTCATTGTCATTGTTCCATTCTAGGCTTGTTTTGAAAAGAGCTAGTTTTTGTTTATCAATATGTTTCTCTATAAAGTTTTTCCCTTGTTTCATTTCCTGCAATTCCTGCATTTTCTTTGAAATGTCTATTTTCTCATTGTGAAACATAATCGCACCAACATCCTAGGGAACTAAGCCACATTTTCGGAAACCATTTTTTAAAATTGATGGTACTTAACCTTTCCTCTAGAACTTTTTTCAAAAGAGGACAGAAGTGAATTTTCCTTAAAACTGGAGAAGCCTGATTCTCAATCCGCCACTGGTGTACTGCATCTTTCCAACCCCCTTTCAAAGAACGAAATACAGCAACATCCATTGGCTGAAGGAAATGTGTTGCATTTGGATGAAGGGCTACCAATATAATACCATGTTCACTGCAAAATCTACTAGTGTGTAATGTTAAATGTTGCTGAAACTGGCTTTCTACATAGAACTTCCTCAATAGCTTTCTCCATAGCTTCTTCTGTATATTGGAACATTTGTCCTTTTGTAGGAGGCATATTTTTAACTGAAATTTAAAATTTTTGTTTTAGTAGTTGACATCCAAAGTGTTTCAATAGTTGACATAGTGTCAACTACTAGATAGAGTGGATACATTTACATGATATTTAAAATATAAGTGTACACATTATATACAATGAAAATAACAATAAAATATTAAGTTTTTACAGTCTCAGTATAAATGGTTAGTAGTTGACACCTATGTCAACTACTAGTATTTTTGTGTATTTGTGAGTTAGTAATTGACACCTAGCCTAATTTTTGTTTTGAGAATAAAACAAACTTAAAACATTAGCAAGATGTTACCTTAATATTCATATAATATATTGATATATCTAAAACTACAGTCATTCACAATTTAATCAATAAATATTAATTTTTTTAAACTTACCTTCTTAATACTTTTGTTTAGAAAACTTGTTGCCACTTGAAGCTCACACAACACTTTGACAAAAATTTGGTGGGAATTTTCTGTTTCAAAGTTAAATAATTCTACAGTTACAGAGAAGATGTATAAATGACACTAGTTAACTATGATGGTAATAATTACATTAAAAATAATTGGAAAAGCTTATTATTTATGCTTAAAATGGAAAATGTCAACTACTGGTACAGTGTCAAGTACTAGTGCATTTACCTTAGTAAAAATTTCTTAGAAATGGATCCAAATGTGAAAAACGTCCGTAATTTTTTAATAAATTATAATTTATTTAGTTTTTGTGTACCTACTCCTTGACATTGTTCATGCAATTTATCCTTATCGTATGGTTGAATAGAATATTGTTGTTTAACTGGACCTCTTTCTCTAATTATTAGAATGTAGGGTTTCTTAATACTGTTCTGAAGCTATTTTCTTGTGGCATCTTAATGTAATTAACTGAACAATTAATCTACTAAACTTAATGGAATGATTTCAGAAGTGGAAATTAAAACATCAAAAATAAACTTATTTTCACCTTTAATTGTGACTTATTCCCAACGAACATAGATATAATTATTATAGTAGGGTTTCTCTAAGATTCATTAATTTGTGGCCTGGCGAGTTTTTGTTTGCTTTATCCCATTTCACAACTCACCTGACTGATAATTTCATACACTTACAAAGAATTTTATGAAAGCAATAGAATTTATAGAATTATTGTTTCACCTTTAATTAATTTATGTCTCATAGTTATATAATTCTTTTATATACTTTCATTATTCTGGCTTCACAATCTTGGGTGGGTCCTAGTCTCATCAAGAATTTATCTACAGTGATCCCCATTCAGCACCTTCCTCCGCCAAGCATGTATTCCCATATTTGTCATGTGTTTTTCTCATTTTCTCATGTTATCAAGGAACCTTGTTCTTGGTCTTCCTCTTCTTTTTTATATCGATGGCCTAGAATGAAAAAGTCATAAGTAGGTTTTTACAAATTATACAGGAGGAACAAAATGGTTATTTTGAACAATATTGGTTTTAATGAAAAACTGTTTGGTACCATATTAGTTTTTAGACTAATACAATGAAATTTATATTAAAAAAACCTTAATGAGTAGGCATTATGGAGAAATCCAGATTTTATGGACTTTTTCAGATAACAAAATTCTAGAAATTATCTGACTTCGATATTTTTACATATCAAAATTAAAGAAGCCAGCCTCAATGTCATATTAAATATACATTTATTAAGAAATTATTACAAAGTTTCAGTACAAAATAAAACTAATAAAATATAATGATTGTGTTCTATAGCTTTAGAAAAGAATTTATTTTACTTGTGTGGTAATGAATCATAGTTTGTGCACCTGTTTTGGAAGGATGTTTCATTTCTTGCATGTATCTAAATTTTATAGCTGTAATCTTCGGTTTGTTTTGATATAAAGGTGTGATTTGTTCCAAGTTTTCTACAAGAGGCACTTTAATTCTGTGTGGAATATTAGAATACTCATCTTCATAGCTTGTCTTTACCTTTAGCTCCCCATTTGGGCAATATTGAATACATTTTATGTCTGTCACCAAAGGATTGCCTGCTTTTTTACCCAGTCTCAGAGAAGAGACATAGTTCAAACTACTAAATTTCTTGAAAAAAGTATACTCAAGCCATTCAACACTATATGGTTCCTGTTTAATTCTGTCAGTTCTACATATTTCTATGTAATTACTTGGAGAATAAATTTCTTGGTTCTGTAATTTTCTCTCAATTGTGGTATGCATAGCATCTCATTCCATTTGTGTATGGCCCTTCTCTAAAATTTTTTGAGTAATTTTTTTCCTGTTTTGACAACGCAAGCAAGAATGTATTTGCCAAAATTGAATTCCTATTCTGGTTAGTACAACCGTCACTAAAAATGATTATTTTGTGACAAATGTGACAAATCAAGTTTGTAGATTAAATGAAAATGAAAATCAAAATTAAATGAAATATTATATAACATAATTCTTCAGCATTTTGTCCTCCTTCACTTTCATCACACAAAAAACAATATCCTTCAGACGATTTTATATCGAATATTGTAAAATTGTGGACATTTTAGCTTGGTTCTGTAATAGAGTGCTGATGCCTTTAATATGGTACATAAAAGTACTGCTTGTAAGTCCATTGTTAATACAATTTTACTTTTGTCAGAGAATTTATCTGCATTTTTTTCATTCCTAGCTAGTGTCTTGTTATTTTGGTGTATCATATAATTTTCTTCACTTTCATTTCCTAATTTGTAAGCAGAGCAAAGATCACATTGGTCTT